GAGGAAGCTACAGTTCAAATAAAAGATACGAAATGGACCGATCAGAGGCACGAGCATATCTGAAAAAACAAACAACTTTTTGTCCAAGCTGTCCTGATCAACCTTAACTTTGCAGAGAATGCTTTAATGTTATACACTGCGAATAATTTTTTGAATAAACCATTTTTATAAGAATTCAATAGTTTCATTACCCCCTGTAGAATATTTGTCGAAATATTTTCGGAAATCCTTTGTAAGTAGTCAAATCAGCGTCACCCGAATTACGGGTGACGTGGTCTGATGAGAACTTTTATTGTCACCCGAATACGGGTGACGCGGCAGTCAACGTGTTAAACATAGTTTTCCGAAAAGAGTAAGAAACTCGCCTGCAAATTATTGTTCATGACTGGCGACTCGCAGCGTTTGTCCTTCGAGCAGACGGACCTGCAGTCGAAGTAGTCGCAGTCCTCGTGCCTCTTGCAGCTCTTCCTGTCAGCCATGATGCGGCTGATGATCGTTTTAGGAAACGCTGCGTCCAGGTCGAGAAACTTGAGTTTCTGTCCGCCTAGGGGCAAACCGAAGTGGTTTATCTTGACGTCGCAGAGATGGATCGGCTCGGGGAAGTTGGTGTCGAGTTCCTCGAGCAGGTCTATGATCATCACGGCTAGTTTCAGTCTCTTCGCCCATTCCGGTTTCGAGTCCGACAGGGCTAGTACTGTCGTGGGTGTTTCGATCGGTCGAACGTATTCGACCGCGTAGAATGTGCCGCACGTGCCAATCAGCTGCGGAAAAATGTCCCTGTCCTCGAAGAGGATGCTCATCAGGTACTCGTTCTCCTGCAGCAACGGCCAAAGATTCTCCATCTCCAGCTGCCGCCTGGTCAGCTCGCTCTCCACACGGTGCGTGCGGAGCCGCGTCAGCCTCTCCAATTGATGTCCCGACGGCATCACGTTCAGTTTGCTAACGACTAGATCTTTGATCATGTGGCCGAAGTCCTCCTCGGACGGGTAGCGTTTGGTGCCGGTCGAGTCCGTCCAGTAGAGCGACTCGTACTGCTCAACCGTGGTCTTCGTTCTGAAAGAAATCGGATCACTTCATTCGAGTCTACTTCATCGAGTTTTTCTATTGTTTCGTTGATTCGCGCGTATTTTTCGAATTGTTATCACTAAACTGCGTATTTTATACATTTATAGCAAAAGTGGCAAACTGAAACACAGAACAGTGAAGACAATCAGAAGAATCTAAGAAACTATTAAAAGAAGAAATATACATTTCTATTTGATTTTTGTCTTTTGTAAGTGTTTCAGTCAATTTTTATTTTACATAAAGGTCCACAGTTCAGTTATTACGGCAGATCCTCGTTTAACTGAACAGACCAGGGGATAAATCATACATGACAGCGTGAAAAGTATTCGTACAATGAATTTCAGATTTTTGACAAATTTGAACGATTTTTGAACGATATTTGAACGGTTATAATTTCTGACATTGCTGACTGTACGTGGGTAATGCAATTATTTGCTCAGATTTGAAAATTAATTTCTACGCTAATCGAGCACATCTTCTCAATTTTATTAGGATCTGCAAAACGCGAGAATGTTAAAAATGTAACTGATATCGTACAACTCAAGTTTCCAATTTTAATTTGATGAAATAAAATGCTTCAATTTTTTGTGAAATTTTTGAGGTTGATGACGTGGCAGTCGAAGCCATTTTTTGAACGATCGTAATACAGTTAAATACAATCTAACGATATCCTTAAATTTTTTAATTTTTTTACTGTTTTATATTCGACTTGTTAATTCTTGTCATAAACGCCTAAACCCTTGTCAATAATGATGACGACGGAAACAAAATTTCGGTCGGGCATAAACTATTATTTGTATCTTAGAACATTGGAGTCAAGATAATAATTATTGTGCAATGATTTTTTTCGCATTTATTATAAAGCAGGGTTTAAAAATAACGGTTATCAAAAACAATTTTATGAAAAAATCAGTTACTAAGACTATTTTATTAGTTTAAATTCAGTCTGTTAATTACGAAGTGTAAAAAATTATTTAAAAAAATTAGATGACGAAATGTTTTGGTTATAAATACCAACTATAAGCGACCGAAATCTTTTTCGTTGCCGACGACCATTATTGATGAGGGAAATTCTATTTCGGTCCATTGTAATAGTTATCGACGAGGGGAATTTATTTCAGTCGGTCATAGGAGCGTAAAATATTGTTCGAAAAAAGAAAAAGAACACGAGCTTCCCTATTTATCAAAGTTGGATTTTTCAATCGATACAAATCCGGTTATCGGCAATGACAAAATTTTCGGTTACTAAAAATACTAATTGTAATGAAAAACATTTTAGTTGGAGAAACGATGATTTATTCTACGACTCTTTTTTCAGTCAGTTACGATCCCAGCATTCAAGTCAGAAGACGTTTGCTAAGGTAAGTCGAATGATAGAACCGCCTACGAAAAACGATTGGTGTTCCAGGGTCAAAAGTGTCGTGGAAGTTGATTCTCTGCTTGCGTTGTATATTATAAAAAAAAAAATAAAACAAACCTTGAGGCTTTGAATACTAGTCGCGTTGCTTCCCAGTGTGCAGAGAAAACTGCTTCTTTGCCAGCATGCAGCGCTTCGCACGCCAGCGAATGAATACCCCTTTCTGCACATAGCGGGTCGCATAGAATTCCTATTGCAGCTCCCTTTCTGTGCGTGCTGCACTAAAATGAAAATTATGATCAGCCGTTGTACGAATAGGCACGTATTTGTTGAATTGTTTGCAAGTGATTCGAATAAATTCCAAGCAATAATTCCCAATTGACAATATTCATTTCTTATTCAAATTCTTTTAGTTAAGTTTATTGATCGTATTCTATATGTAGAATGGTCGAAGGTTATTTACATTCATTTATATAAATGTATATTTAAATGAATACTGACCGTTGGAAATTCACGAAATTATGCTATAACTAATCTACATATAATACGAATCTCTAAACTATCGATGCTCTATATCCGTGATTGTTCCAAGTTAGTTTTGAGTTTTGTTAAATTTTTTTCCGAAATAGATATTCTCATTCCTAGCATTCTAGACATTAGCATAAAATTATATTTTGTATAGGCAATATCTAACAAAATACGAAAAAATGTTTACTTCAACGAACATCGATGAGATTCGCATTTTATTGATACCAGAATAATTTATACACTTTGGTTCGCTGAAATTGATTGTTCAGTTCTTTATAAAATAATACACTACTAAAATAGGAATTTGCATAAAAATCCGTCATCTGATCATGATAATTCATCATATTTTGCGGTGCTACTGCTTCAACGTCTGAAAGTAAGCTTTTAGTAGAAAATAAGTTTCCATTCTAGAAATTAATTAATAAGTCAATTTTCTACAGCAATTTCAAATTTCTCAAAATAGTGTTATAAGCAGAATTTGTATTCCATCAAACATGTACATACCTGATTAGTCTAAATTGCAGAAGTTTATACAAATGCATATTTTAGAAAAATGAACTGTACAAATAAAACTTTAATTGAAATATGTTCCAACATTAGAGGATATAAAAACTGTATTTCTTTTACGCATTGCATATTACTTGGATATTTTCTATATTCCTTGCATTTTTTGCGTAGAAGTAGCATATTCTGCGTATGGTCAGAAATGTGTGGATGTGAAATTGAGCGATTGGTACGTACCGATCACTATTCGCATCAAGTGGAATCCGATCGGTGCAGAGAGTGATATGACGCAAACGTGGCGTCACTTTATCGGTGACGACACGCAGATACGCAGGGATCGTATTATATATATACATTTGTATTAAATATATTTTTATGTACTACACACATTGTATGCAATATTAACCCTAGAAAGATAACCATATGACAACGTACGTAAAAGATAACCATACGCTTCAGAGGCGCATGCTTTTCTAAGGCGTCAATTTTATACTAACAATGGATATTTATTTAAGTTAATCTAGTCATTTTAAAGGTTTGGCATTATTGTAAAAATAAAATGCATTTATATTATATTTTTTTATATTTTAAGTAATTTTAAACTTAAATCACTAGACCTCTATGAAAAATTAACAAAAATCAACAGTCTTCGCAGGCGCCTCTGCGACGTAGGTTATCTTTCTCGGGTTAAATACATCGATTGAACACAATTTTACGAATTCTGTAGTATTTGCATAGTCCGCACATTCACTGCGTATCGTCTTAAACTTCCGCAGTCTATAATTACATTACTTTGTAACTCCTTGCACCTTAATAATTTTGCATTCTGTATTTAATAGAATTTCGAATGGCATGATTGAATATTGCACAATGCAGTTAAACAAACTCAAAGGGACCTCATGATAAAAATTGTTTGGTAAAGAATGAAAACAGTAAAGTTAATTTTTTGCCGTGTTTGCCCCTTTATACGAAACGACTTTCGTTCGAAACATTTATTTATATAACACGTAGTTTACAAAAAAAAAATTAAGGTAAAAGAGTTGAATGATACACCTTGTATATTAAATTATTAATTCGACGAGGAATCGTGCGATCCACATAAGACCAACGTGGCATTGAATGCGCTACAATTGAATATCCACTGTATTATACCTGCAAATTTGCGTTATAAGCTCAGACAAAAAAGTTAAAAAAACGAGAGGTTTTTATTTTGTCACTCCAAGTAATAGCAAAATTGTAACAAAGTAGTTTAGTCAATGTTTAGTTTCTCTATCGTCTAAAAAAAAAATTCATATCGTTTAGCTCGATTTTAAAAAAGCTATTGCGTTTTAAAAGATGTCCGAATATTAATGGGAGTAACTTGTATGTAATTAGAACAGGTAGACAAGGGTGTCTCAGAACTCCTACTATGCTTAAAAAGGGTAAGCCAAGGTAATTTGAAGTCACTTTTTCGTTACAGAAAATGTTGGTTACGACTTCATTAACGAGTTATCAACGAAAAATACGGGCCAATCAGGGAATCAATATGACAAGCATCCGTACTCGTTTTTTATCGAACAGTTGGAGTTCTGGGACACCATGCATATCGATTTCGGTTTCAGTGCTATAACTGTTCTTTTTCACTTCTGACTTTCAGTTATGCAGTTCGGTTATATGTACTTCGATTTTACGTATTACATAAATACATTGTGTATTTCCTTTACATATTAATTCGACGAGGAATCGTGCGATCCACATAAGACCAACGTGGCATTGAATGCGCTACAATTGAATATCCACTGTATTATACCTGCAAGGATTGTACTCGATTGTGCTCCGATCTTATTGGGAGAATCAAATTGTAAAACTCGATCAGAAAAAGGTTGAAAGCGATCATGTCATGCGGTTTCCTCAATGAAACTCGAACTAGCTTCATAACGTAAATATTTAAGATGGTTGGTTGTTTCGATGCAGCTCGAAAGAGATACATATTTGTATCAATCAAGCCCCCACAAGCAGACATAAAAGTCAGAATTGAAAGACACTTGCTTTGCGCAGAGCGTTACGAGCGGTATTACGTTTAACCTCTGAAATAACTTTGTTTTCTTACGGTCATCGCGCATGCCAGAAATTGTTTCTTTTGTATATTTCATTGAAAAACCTGTTCTACACTGAAATAAGATTATGGCGAGGATATCCTGTAGAGTTGATAATGTATGTAAAGAGAGAGAGAGAGAGAGAGAGAGAGAGAGAGAGAGAGAGAGAGAGAGAGAGAGAGAGATGCCAATTTCATTGGCAAAGTACACAATGCCGCAGTGGTGACCCTAAGTTTCGATTGTTGAGAAAATTCTGTTATTAGGGTCGCCACATACGTCTCTATTTGCACTCTTTGCGTCTGTACCTTACTTTTACCTTATTCATAATATTTCATAATTATATTATTTCTTTCATATAATTTTTGAAATTTATAGTTATAGCGAATATTCGAATAACCTATTCATGTAAAGGGGGGTTTTCCTTAACCCCTTGACATACCGTTTTCTTCGCAGTTGCTGTAATTAGAAATTTTTCAATTGCAATAATTTCTTAGAAGGGAAAGAAAATTGATGCTTATTGTGTGCCTAAATTTACTCGAATGCTTAAATATTGATGACAAGAGATTATAGAATTTTATTCCAATTTCAAAGGACAGAATAACATCTATACTCAATTAATTATTATCAGAAATTTTCATGACGAGTCGGACTCGTCAAAAATTGGTTCAAAGGACTTGAATATTTTTGACATGTTAGATCGACTAGTTTTTTATGAAATGAGTGTATAAAAAGCAATTTAGATTGCAATTGATTAGAATGATAAGGAAGTTGAAAATGATATTTTCAAAATTTGTTTTATCTGAGGCCACAACGAAAATTTAAAAAATGGATTTTCTACATCACGATAACTTATTACGCATGCTGAAAATTTCATCGAAATCGGTCGACACATAATTAAGTTACAGCCACTGAAAGATGTAAAAATGACTTGTTTCTCTGCTTGAAATTCGTGAGAAACTGTGATTTTTGCGATCTTTAATTGATTACAGCTCATGTAACTCAGGTCAACCGATCTCGATGAAATTTTCAGCACGCATATAAGTTACCATGATGTACAAAATGCATTTTTAAAACTTTTGTTATAGTCTCAGATAAAAAATTTTAAAAATATCATTTTTAACTTCTCCGTCGTTCTAATCAATTGCAATCTAAAAAAATTCTTTGTATACTCATTTCAAAGAAAACTAGTCTTAAAAATATTCAAGTCTTTCGAACCAATTTTAAAAAAGTTATTCCTTTTGAAAAGGCGTTAACGTACTTTCCGGGGCGACTGTATATTGTTCTGAATATCTTTTCTTTAACCATGTTAACACTACCGCTCGGCCCTAATTTTCGAAATATATACAGAAGCAAAACATTTGTTAAATATTAATTATTATTATTATTATTAATTCTTACGAAATTATACATCTAATTCCAATTTCACTGTGAAAATTAGTACGCAACTGTTCCGTGAAACGACGCAAAATTTTCTAGCATTCACAAAATTTATTCCCGATTTTCTCCAATAGGAAAAGTTACATTAACGTCTAACGTCCGACAAAAATTAAAAATCGTGCGTCTTCGTCGGAAATGCGCGTACATTGAAAGACAACAAATGAATTTTCGTGTTTATTTCGCGGCTGCGTGCTCGACATTTGAGAACAAGTACCGGCCCGTCTGGGATTAAAACGCAGATTAATTGGCAGGAAAGGAATTTCGTGGGCGGACAGTGGAGTTATGTCGTAAAATTTTTACGTTCGATCCGTGGATGTTCGAGAGTCGTCGTTGTGAGGGCAATAAAAGTGAATTATTCTCTTGTTGCGTGGGTGGTGGCCGCGTTGCGTACACGCGTACGTACGTTCGCACACGGTGCTTGTTCACGTGCGTGTAGAAGTCGTCTGGATACGTGTACACCAGATCATGCACGCGATATTTTTAGTTGTCGTGACCGCCATGATGAGAGAACTTCTCGGATAGAGGCGGCCGCTGCGCCGCCGCTGTAAGATGCATGCCGGCCACCATGTGTCGCGTGAGCACGAATAACTAACCGGATATTCTGTTTGCAAAAAGAAATCGTAGGTTACCCAACTTCTTTAATTATTCCGAACTTTTTGTTTATGCGGTGAATCAGTTACAGACTGATGACGTAGGCAGATTTGAAACGACATTATTTGAAATAATATTTCGAATAACACGTGTTATTTTATTTAACCAGGCATTATTTAGTCGGCATGATGTGGCATGGCATAGCAATTTCATTTAGACAACTTGCTTTAAAATGAATTGACAATAACAAAAATAATAATAATAATAATAATAATAATAATAATAATAATAATAATAATAACAATAATAATAATAATAATAATAATAATAATAGTACCGCATGACGCATATCCACCAAATGTATTGTTTGAATTAAAAATTTCTTGAATAAAATTGATTTTTTAAACATTTTGCAATGATGAAAAAATGAATAACTCACGTTTTCTAACTTTTCCATCTGAGCCTATAACGAGAATCTAATCAATGAGTTTTGTAGATATCGATTATTTATACTCAGCAAAATATTAATGAAATGTTAATGATATTGAAAAATGTTAAAATCTCGAGATTTCTCACAGCTATCAGTCGAAAGTCGTGAAAAACTGCGATTTTCGCTATCTTTAATTGTTTGTAGCTCATAACAAGGTCAATCGATTTCGATTAATTTTTCAGCATGTATTATAAGTCACGGAAATCTACAGAATGTATTTTTTTAATTTTCATCACAGGCTCCGATAAAAAATGTTTTAAAATCTAACCTTTTTATCTTTTTTCTTGCCATTCCAACTAATTGCAATTTAAAAAAAATGTTTAAACATTGTCTAGTGAACTAGGGTAGTGTGACCAGTTACTGTGGGGTGGCTAATCGCTGTACCTTTGGTATGTTTTCAGGCATAATTAACTTTCTATTAACTTCTCTCTCTTTCTCTCTCTCTCTCTCATATTGTATTTTTTAATTACAAGATATAATAGGTTTTATTCGATGAACATAAAGTACGAACCAAAGGCGCAGGAATTGGTTATCCTACAGTAATCGGCTCTGCTACCTCACACGTGTTGTTCGAAGGTACAAACATATTTCAGGTGAACGAAGTTCGTGTGAGACACGTAGTATATTTCAACCTAACAGTTCCATACTTGGAGTCTAATGTACGAGTACTGACACTAAGCCTGCAATTAGATGACTTTATACTTAAATTTAATCAGTCTCATGAGAACCTGAACTTATAACTATAATTTTTTTTTATCTAACCGTGACGGATGGCAATGAACATTTTTAGCCAGTTCGTCATCGACATAAACACAAAGATACACTGAAGTGAAAGCAATTTATTTAGTAAAACAAAGACTGAGAAGTTAAAATTTATGGGTATATGGTTCATGCCGTACTAATATATCCAGTTTATGATTTTACTCTTTCGATATACAGTGACTGCTATTAATATTTGAACACCTTTTAAAACGCAAAATTTTTTTATAATTAGACTAAACAACTTGAATTCTTTTTAGATCATAGAAGGACTAGTTCACACACTCGACGATGACTGAAATACTTTTTTTAAATTTTGCTATTGCTTAGAATGACGAAAGAGAATAGAAAACTGTCATCTTTTTAGCTTTTTTATTTGAGTCAGAAACGAAAATTTAAACAATGTGTTTCATGGAAACGGGTGACCTTGGTATAAACAGTAAACAATTAAAGATCGCAAAAATTACAGTTTTCTCCCGATTTTTGACACTTTCGACCAATTACTGTCAGAAATCTGCAGTTTTTAAAATCTTTTAACGTTTGTAACGTGATTTTGCGTTAACCAATTTCGATGAAATTATCAGCATGCATTAAAGATTATATAAGATTATATATAACTTACTGAGATCTACGAAACGTATTTTTTAAATTTGCGTTATAAGCTCAGACAAAAAAGGTAAAAAAACGAGAGGTTTTTATTTTGTCACTCCAAGTAATAGCAAAATTGTAACAAAGTAGTTTAGTCAATGTTTAGTTTCTCTATCGTCTAAAAAAGAAAATTCATTTCGTTTAGCCCGATTTTAAAAAAGCTATTGCGTTTTAAAAGGTGTCCGAATATTAATGGGAGTAACTTGTATGTAATTAGAACAGGTAGACAAGGGTGTCTCAGAACTCCTACTATGCTTGAAAAGGGTATGCCAAGGTAATTTGAAGTCACTTTTTCGTTACAGAAAATGTTGGTTACGACTTCATTAACGAGTTATTAACGAAAAATACGGGCTAATCAGGGAATCAATATGTCAAGCATCCGTACTCGTTTTTTATCGAACAGTTGGAGTTCTGGGACACCATGCATATCGATTTCGGTATCAGTGCTATAACTGTTCTTTTTCACTTCTGACTTTCAGTTATGCAGTTCGGTTATATGTACTTCGATTTTACGTATTACATAAATACATTGTGTATTTCCTTTACATATTCTAAGTATGGATTCTGTGTATATTTAAGCCGAGAATACGAGCGTCACATGTTCGTAATACATCTGTATTGCTGGTAAGTTGCGACTATGACCACCGGACGTCTTTGTCTCTCTATCACACACAATCGTTTTCAATCCCTGAATTTGATGTGGCTTTAATGCTTCTTTGAATTTTATTCAAAGTTAGAACGTGTTCAATAGAATCAAGCTGTATTGGGTTTTGGCAAACTGACAATTTCAGTTTTATAAGATTACACGTACATTTTGTGCTCAGTAGGCATAGTGTAAATATATATTTACACTATATTATATATTATACATTATATATAATGTAAATAGTATAAATAATGTAAATAGTATAAATAATGTAAATAATAATATAAATAATATAAATAGTGTAACATATATTATATATAAATAACACTATATTTAGACTATATTTACACTACACATATTTGTAAAAATAATTTCGGTTTTAAACCACGACCTTTGAAGCAATGCTTATACAAGCCCTACCGTTCTTTCGTTGAAGGTTATAAAAGATCTCTTTCAAACCCATGAGCAAGCAGCTTTTCAACAGTTTCAGTGACGGGACTTTGATCTTTACATCGGCGTAATACCCATCGTATTGAAATATTAATTTATTCTGAAAAACACAGCGAAATTTAAGATAAGCAAAAGCTATACACTTATAAGTTTACTGCTGTTATTAATATTGTACGATCAATATTAACCACTTCAATCGACACGCTGTTCCCACACTGTTTAGTTTGCCTATTTAATAAAGATTGTCCTATAGTTTCGCCGTAAATAATAGAAACCACTATCACCCCTATTTTCATCTGGCTTCATAATTCCTATATAAATATAAATATATATATATAGTGAGTAACGATAATATCTGGACAATAAATTAATATCTTTTAAAATGCAATAATTTCTTAAAAATTGGACCAAATGTCTTGAATTTTTTAAAGATATTAGAATTACTCGTTTACTAGATAATAAATGCAAAAGTTGTTGTGTTAAAATTGTAATTGGTTCATATGACAAAATGATTTTTCCATTTTCTTAACTGACATGGCAACCAAGAATAATAAATCGTACGACTTTTTCAAAAAAGATTCACAGAGATTTGCGGGTCCAAAAATACAATGTAATTTTTTTTAGTACTATTTGTGCATAGCTTTTGTCATTTGCGATTTATAAACCCTTGCGCGGAAGGACCGTTTCGGATATAAAATGGTTGATTTCTTCCATAAAGTAAAAAAAAACGAATACAAACGAAATACGGCTAAATTGTTGGGTAGATCAATTAACGCGTTAACTGCCGCGTTGATCACGTGTGAGTGACACCAGGACGTGACATTAATTTTTATTGCGATTGTTCAACGAACTTAATCTCACCAGGACTTTTAAAACACAAAAAAGTGCTAAACTAATCCGTATCTGTATCGTTTAATATTCCTTAAGTGCCGTGATCGTACATGTTAAACCAAACAATTTATTATATTAAATTTAAAATATCTAGTTTTGGTTCGATTAATTGAATGACGTTATAAAATATTGAGGTTATCTTTTCGAAGTTGATATTCAGCGCTTAACGCGTTAAACATTTGCGCAGAGATTCGTCAAAATCGGCGTATATCAATCACCGGCGTTCTTTTGTTGGATTTGTACGGTTTTATACATGCGTGTATACCGTCTTGCGGTATATTGTCTCGGAGAGCGTAGCTTAACCACAAACTCCGCATTTGGAGTCCGGTTGTTTACAGCCAGAGCGTCGGCAGGCTCGACGACAGAATTGTAAACAGAGAGCCGAACACCGATCGAAGTTGATATTCGAATTTGGTCGGTACGAACGCGGCCACACAGGAGGCTATAGAGGAAAGGTTGTTTCGTGAACGTCGGGAGGGCGCGTGCGTGTTCGCCTGGTTTCGGTGTTCCTTGCTCTACTACCCTGGATTCGCACCCTTCGTCTTCGACATTAATCCCCGTGCACGGCTCTCTTTCTCTCTGTGTGTGTATATGCGCGTGTGTGTGTTCCATGGGAAGGGTGGTGTGCGGTAGGGCACTCTCGACCGGTGTGCGATTCGAAAGGACTCACCACGTTGGATACGTGCCGCCAGGCTTCGAGATTCGTGCACATAATACCCCAGTGCAGTAGCAAGTAGACGACCAGAAGAGACACCGAGAACACGAACAAAGTGACCACTTTGTAGTGGTACATGAAACCGGGCAGTCGTCGGACGTTCATGATCCTGCGGGCACTGGTCCTCTACTCTAGTAAGCGAATAATATTCTTGTTCTTTCACACTAATCCGTTTCGGATGCAACACAGCGGCTCGTCTCGCTCAACGATCAGCTGGTCGTCATCTTCTTCCGCGGCGGCGCATCGTGGCATCTCGTTTTCAACTCTATTCCGACCGACCCGTTCGGTTCGACTCGCGAGAAAACGGTTCGAATAACTTCAACGACCGACCGGTGTCGTACGGTTGTGCCAATGCGGCATAATCTGCGGCACATGCCAGCGTCGCGACGCCGCGCCGCCGCGGCGCGCCTCTCGCGGCGAATCCTTCTGCGAGCATCATCGCGCGCATGCTCTCGCGTCGCTTTTGATTCGGCCGGCACGCGCAAATTTGAATTTCGCGGACTACGTTTCACGGGGAAAAATTGTTCGATGCTGTCGCGACGATGCACGGCGACTCGAATTCTGCAGCTGTTTAGGAACGTTTTGAGAACGGCTCCGGTCAACAACGTTCTGATAAAGAAAGATTTATTAATACTTTTCGTATTAACAGTGTGTTAACACGTTTTATCTCTATCGGAAATCTATTAACACATTGACGACCGCGCCGAAAGTATCTAAAAATTTCATAGAATTCAAGTATTTTAATCAATTAAATTAAACTTGCAAAGCAAAATTATATAACATCGATAACTATTTCAACATTCTTACCAATTGTGAATCTTAATAAAATGAAGAAATTTTTATGGATTAGCATGAAAATGAAATTTTAAATAATTTCGTCATCCGCATACGGGTGATGCGCGGCAGTCAAAGTGTTAATATTAATCCTGACAGACATATTAATCCAAAAGCAACTAATGTGTGTTACTTGATGACTATAACAATATGTATATCTATTTAGACCTTTCATAATTTTCATTATAGCGAATGTTTGGATTCAGAGATTTATTCGATCATTCTCTATGAAAGAGTCTCTATATTTTCAGCAATTTTAAAACAAAAAATGTGAACCTGCTTGGTAGGTTTAGCGTGAATAGAATTTTCAATTATCGTGCTATACCAAGAGAAATCTAAACAGTCATATATTCTACATAATAATCCTAAACGAAAGTATTAGAGACAATGTCGCTGAGCGACTTATTTGTATACGGTGGAAATAATTAGTGCTACTAAATAATTTATTAATTTAGTTTTTGAAACCATCGTAGGTAGATGATGTGTTAATTAAATGAAACGAATATCCTGAATTATCTTGAATATCATGCTGGGAATTTTCACAATGGCAACGAGTTGTTCAGCGAATGCGTCGAATTAATAGATTAAACAAAATAATTTCAAAAGCAATCGTGATTAATATAGAAATGTGATTCGTTATTGAATAATATTAAAATGCAATTCATTATTGATTGATGTTAAAATACTCGTCGATTGCGATAAATCAAGAACGCAAGCGAAGATAGCACGTAATTTTACGTCAAGCCTAATATTATCCCCGTCGAAGAATCTTTCAAATACCAACGTGATACTAAAACAGGCGCTTAGTATGTTTTCGGAATCTAGATATAAATAGGATTGTTGTGCCAAGTCGAAACTAATTTGATTCATTTCTATGCGATCGAGTTCTCCAGTAATAACGGACAGATCACAATTTTTCATTAAGTTTGCCGAGCAGATTTTTCAGTAAATTATTTCATACATTGACATTTATATTATTTACATAACTCTTTACATAATCAGAAAATAAGATTTCTGTAACCGTCATATATTGAATTGCATTTAAATTCCAACATTTTCATTTATATTATCCAGTTGATTGAATCGACTTCTGGAATAGATCGTTTAGCATTCAATTGCTACAAAAAGTTCCCGTTGTTCTACGATATTAATTTTAATTAACTAAGAAGTCAATTTTATATGTAAAAGGTATACACGAATTCAATACCTTAGTTACTAAGATTTTAAAAGACATTAACAAAATTGATGTTAAACAGTCGTAGTCAATGTGCAATTAGAAATTACTTTTTTTGATTTATGTTAAAGTTTGTTCTTATTATACGTAGTCTGATATGCACACGCTATTATCGATTTTTAATATTTACATGTGTACCTACATTCAGGCCATTGCTCAAATTGAATTACGTTCCATTAGATTGCTATACGGGATTACCTCCGTAAGACTGAAGCCTACAATACCTGGATTGACTCCAGTAACATGGGCAAATTATTGTTCCGAAATCAATTGTTTTTATCTACGATGTCTACGGTATCATTTATGTATTTACCACGGAACCGATTACGATTAAATAATTGCACACGCTGTACAGTTTTAAATCTTCAAGCATTTTCAGTATTAAGAGCCTCTACATTAAAGATTCTACGCTATTGCACTATATGTTATATGACAATAAAAGTGTTGTATACATTATACATTAAACAAAATTGTTTTAAGACAACTCCATGTTTTCAGTAGTCTATCGTTTCTTCATTATCCTTATCATTTTCATCGTTATGTTTTATTCCTTTCAAATTGAAAAATACAGACAGCTACGGTTTGTTATAATTAAAGCTCGAAAATAGTTGAGCATATTATCTTTACCACTTTCGATACGTATATGAAATAACCAAATAATACTGCTTCAAATATTTTGATATTGCAACTAGCTTTTACCTCGCGGATTCAATTTTATTTCAACAATTCAATTTTGTTGTACTAATTATAATTTCAACTTAAAAATTAATCGTTACTTTAGAAATATGAAATTGTGCTATAAGAATACAATTTTAGCAAAATTTTCTTACATTTGTCGATCAGTTCACTGCGTATTCGGACACGATCCCGTCAGTGTTTTATATTGGCGCGTGGCATTGATCACATCAACGTTCAACTACATCAGCTACCGCATAATTTTTTTGCTGGCGCGTCATCCACGGTGTAGGTTTCTGAGTGCCTAGAATTATTTCAAACGATCCAATTTACAGTTCGACCAAAAATAGTCGGACCATAACTGCTACTGTGCGCTCACCTCATCACGCTTCCCGACTTTTATCGCGTTAGCGCCAACCGCATCATTCTTCTGCTGTTTGGAAGACGATGCAAGGCGACACAACGGCGTAAGAAATCGAGATCGTATTTAACGCGAACTGGAGTGGAAGCGGCGGTCTTTTTGGGACCAGTTGCTTTTGATGTGACTATAACTTCTAATTGAGGGTCTGGCCGGTGCTGCCTCCAGTGCCGTATCACGAGGAGGTCGTAACTGCTAAAAGTGTGCGATCGATGCCGAAGTGCGCTGGACCTTCTCGTCGATTTCTTTACGTTCAAGAAACGATTGTGCATTCATTTATTCGCCTATAAAGTTTGTCTAATTATTATGATATATATAGGAAAAATATATCGAACTGTGACGCAATTGTAGGCTATGTAACAACTGTTTTAGATTGTATGTGAAATAGAAATTCGGTGAATTTTTAGTAAAACAGATTTTTAACGTAATTCTATCATGCATAGAGTCTTCCATTCGTCTTATGCACTTGTTTTCGACGATATACGAAGAAAGTTGCAATCATCTCATTCCTTGTAACCATACTCAACCATTTTTAACTGTTTGTACCGAAGGTCAGATGAAGTCTCATAGGTCATCGAATTGATCTTCACCTTGACTAATACACTGCATTATAAGTGTTGGCAGTTTTATAGAAAGGCCGGAGGTTATGACCTTGGGACAACTAATTTATCCTCTATCCTAATCTTTCTTTCTAAAAATAATCGAGGTATATACAGCGAAGAGCACGGCTGAGTCAACTCCTTTTAAAACGGAATCATTTTTATAAGATTCGATCAGTCTGCTTGAACTGCTTTGGGACAATATTTAAAGAAATATTTGCTAAAATTGCAGCTGCTTGGAATAACAAAACGATGTGTAAAAGACGGCAGATAATAATTAAGAATGGGAAAGCGGACATTTCAACTGAATTTGATTTTCTTTCTTTTGACTTTAATTTTCCACGCGTTATTAAATAAATACCGACATAGAATTGTGATAACAAATGATTATATAATTGACGAAACAAAACCTTTATAATGTTTCAATACCATTTTGCGAATTTTACCAAAGCGAATAACAACTAGCTAAAAAAAGTTTAAAGCTGTCCTTAAAAATCGCGGTACAACTGGCCGGGTGGTAATTTTACATGCAAAAATAAGTCGAAAAAAAAGAATAACAGTTCTTTATTTAAAGTTTGCTCCTCGACAAAAATAAGTTCGAAGAGTCGCCAGGATCGCGTGGCTTATGTATGACAAGAAGTAGTATTGGTAGGTCATGCTCCGACACGCTAATTGACTCCTATTCGATAGTCATTTTTTTAAACTTATTATTCTCGAAATGAAAGTCTTGCATGAAATAATGTTGTTCTTTTCTCTCGACTTATTTTTAATAAGTTTTATATATATATATATATTAAATAATAAATATATAAATATATCAAATAATAATAAATTATATATATAAAATAATAATTTTTATAATATTCGCAGATGTGAAAGAATCGTGGTTCATCATCTTTTTCCGTTGCAAAGAATCGGAACGTTTTTGCTGTAGCTATTTAACCATGATCTATGTACACGGTGGTAAACAAAATTGTTTGTAATTTCAATAATTAACAGAAATCTAAGTAGAATACTTTCTGTAATGTTTCTGATACGAAATTAAGGCAAGCTTCTCGCCATTAATAATTAAAGCTGATTTTAAAATCTGAGAATTATAGAGAATATAGAATTAGAGAATTTACATATAGTAGAATCTCGATAACTTGAAAATCTTTATAAGACGAAAATTGTCTTCGTTCCCTTCCGAGCTCAGTCGTAAAAAAATCTCTACGTCTCGAAATCAAACTTTCTTAACTGGAACCATTTATCGCATGTTCAATTATGTATTTAACCTCTACAATTCGAATTCAGAAGAACTGTGAGCTCACGAGTCAAAGTTTATTTCTATGTAAATTGTGCTATATCAAAAAAGATAGTTAAACAATTATCTTTTAAATAATCATGTCAGCAGAAACTATTACAGATTTTTATATTGTTATCTTACGGCAGAAAAAAACCTAACAATTTAGAAGTTCTATCTTCAGTTTCCTGGAAATCGCAACTAAATCAGTGATGTGTCCGATTAATTCGATAGATTTCATTTTGCCAATTGTAGCGTACGGAAATGTCCGTTATCCTAATAAGAATCGGACGATGGTTAGTGGGCCCAGAAACCCCTGCTCTTCACCCCTGATCAATAATTATTTTT